CGAGTCTCTCACACGCCAGGGGCTACAGAGAAATGAGTCATGAGGGACCCAGACACACACACACAGAGAGAGAGAGAGAGAGAGAGAGAGAGAGAGAGAGAGAGAGAGAGAGAGAGAGAGAGAGAGAGAGAGAGAGAGAGAGAGAGAGAGAGAGAGAGAGAGAGAGAGAGAGAGAGAGAGAGAGAGAGAGAGAGAGAGAGAGAGAGAGAGAGAGAGAGAGAGAGAGAGACATATTTGCTGCTAGTGCATCTTTTTGTTAGCACTTCACTAAAACAGGTTGTTCTTTACATGTTGTGCAACTAATGATGTTTGTACTGATTTATCTTGTAATGGTTCCACAACTACATGCAGGATAATATATGTTTAGTTACATGTCAAATATGGATGTTTGAGATTATTAAAATTAGAAATCCCTAAAAATGAAACCAGCATGAAACCAGTAAAATCTTCAACTACAAATAGAATTTAATGACTCTAAGTGTCACGTGGTGTAAACATACTTTCCTTGAAAAAATTGTGTACAAAATGTAATTTTTCAAAGTAGAAGTTTTTGTTGACAAACGTAAAATGTTACTAAATTTATATTTAAAAAATAAAAACATTGGCAAGTTATAAAATTGTCCGAATATCTGATTTCACATGATTTCAAGTCCTCTATCATATTTCCAAGGTTTTCTTATGCGGATTTTTTTTTTGATTACACCAGTGATTTGGTGGACAAAAGTTTCTAAATCAGTAGGGCTGGGTTACAAATATCGATTACTCAATTTTAATAGATTCTCATTTTGAAGAACTAATATCGATTATTAAATCCCAAGAATCGATCTCTGCTGTTTTCAGTTGATGAATCAACAAAGATTTGTAGCTTTCCTCCCATCAAATAACAATAAGCGTTGTGCTTTGTTACTTCATATATGAAAAAGTCCCATATTTCAAATTCTGTCAATTTTATTACGAAATTCAAACAATAAAGATCGTTCTGGCACTCTTTAAAGTGGCGCGACAGATCAATGTGGCGTCTCAGTTCAGTTCTCTACTACTAGTTACAGCATGAAATAAACAGTACCGAAATCCACATCATTACACATGTAAACGCTCAGTGTTTTAACTGTGGAAAGACGTCGATAAAACAGCACAATGTCACCCACTCATTAGTCAGCAAGAAAAATGGGGAGGGGAGCATTTCGCTGTTTATATGCACTATATTGCATATTCATTGTATTTTTACTTAACCTGCTCATCAGTATATAATGTATTTTTGAACAAATAAGTCTTGTTTTATGACCTATATATATATATTAAAAAAAGTCAAGACAGTCACAGAATCACGAGAAATAAAACCAGAAAACCATTCTTTACAGCATTTTGTGTCATTTTGTAACTTTTAAAAAACGATTATTATGTAATCTTCGTTGTGCAGCCAATTTTCATTGTTCAATTAATGCAGTACGTTTTTGCTTTGAGTTAAAGCACTTGACTGAGACAGAGCTGTGATAGATGTACAGCTTCTGTCATTACATACTAATTAAACAGTTCTGCAGGCATAATTTTAAGTGCTGTCATTAATTTCCTATACATTTATTAATGACTCCACAGGGAAAGGGAGAGAGAGAGAGAGAACAGGTTTTTGAGTTTTGCTTTAAATGAAACCAGACGAGAGAGAGAGAGAGAGAGAGAGAGAGAGAGAGAGAGAGAGAGAGAGAGAGAGAGAGAGAGAGAGAGAGAGAGAGAGAGAGAGAGAGAGAGAGAGAGAGAGAGAGAGAGAGAGAGAGAGAAGAGAGAGAGAGAGAGAGAGAGAGAGAGAGAGAGAGAGAGAGAGAGAGAGAGAGAGAGAGAGAGAGAGAGGTGCTTTCTTGTGGTTGTTAGTGGATGGGAATCTAGGTCAGTCTGTTGGATCCATTGGGTGGATGATGGCATGGATTCCAGGATAAGGGCTCCAACAGACTTTGTTTGGGGTCGGAGGTAATTGGCCCTTTCCTCCTGCAAAAAGGCAGAGAGCATCTACATTTCTGTCAGCTCTGGTGAAAATCCAGTGATGCGGGACCAAAACTATTTTTTTTGCAATTGCACTGCATCTAGCAGAAGAGCGTCAGAGATAGCAGAGGAAATGGAAAGATATTTAAGTAGCCAATGCGTGTCCTCTTTACAGATTTATAGTTAAATACAAACTGCAGTTCCACCTATGTGGAATGGAAAGAGACATGATTGTGATTTTTAATTTTTACTATCTTATAATATAAGGCAAGCATCATTGTAACCGTTGCTCATTCTTAATACGCCGGTCTACAACACATGCCACACCAATTACATGAATCATACTTGTAATTATGCTCCTTATTAAGGTGTGGTATTGCTTGAAGCACTCATATTTACAAAGTTCACTTGAATATAAAGCTAATGTTTTACTGTACTAAATAATACGTACAGGTCATTTAAAACAGGCCATCCTTTTGTTCTTTATATTGTGACATTTTTCCAAGAAAATGTTCGGTGCAATATGTGCATTTCTATGTAAAGTGCAATTACTTCATACATTTATTTGAAAGTTCAATATTTACAACAAAATATTTGTAAAAATGCATCATGGTTTCCACAAAAATATGAAGCCGCACAACTGTTTTCAACACTGATAATCATCAGAAATGTTTCTTGAGCAGCAAATCAGCATATTAGAATGATCTCTGAAGGATCATGTGACACTGAAAAGTCAGCTTTGATCACATGAATAAATGACATTTTATAATAGAAGTTATTTTAACTGTAATAACGTAACATTTTTGATCAAATAAATGGGTTGCACTTTATTTTAAGGTAACAATTACATTGTAGTTAAAAAAAGTACCGAGTAATATGAATTAACTCTACGGTTAGAGTTTGGTTTAGAGTTAGTTAATTGTAATTATGCATAATTTACTGTTATTACTATAGCAAGTAGATGAAATAACGTGTAACTACGTCACTTTAAAGTGTTACCAATAAATGCAGCCTTGCATAAGAGGCTTCTTTCAAAAATGACCCCACACTTTTGAACAGCAGTGTACTATATATATATATATACACAGTGTATATATATATATATAACTTCTGAATGCAGTCAAAACATAACCCAGCATGAAATCTCACATCTTTAATAACAATAGTAAACGATCTTACCTGACATGATTTTCCTTTTGAAATAATGCACAGTAATTGCTATACAAAAGACAAACACAAGTTAATGGAGCCGCTACATACAGGGTGAATTCAGGTAAAGCATCTCAACGTCAAAAGCGTCCCAATTTACCCTATGCCAGCATTCATTAGTTAAAGGAGCAGTTTGCAGCGCCATTGTTGTGCAGGATTCGGCTGAACTCTGCACAGCCTGTGCCAGAGCGCCACCAAGTGGTGGAACAAAGAAAACCGACAGCTGCAAATGACCTGAGCACTGGCAACATGCATTTGACATGCCGAGGAAGCTGCTGATGTTCTAGAGAGGACTAATTAAATCTGCTGTCGCCTTTAATGACGCGCAGATTTATCGCCACATACGGAATTGTAAAACCTCCAATTCCCTGCGAGGAATAAAAAAAACACTTCAGATTGCAGAGGAAGATCAACCTTTATTTATTGAAACTGCTTGCATACAAAATATATTGCACTATAACCAAACAATGTCAACATAAAACCCAGTCTGTTCTGCTATTATGTACAAAGAAATTATTACCCAAAGTGCAGTAACATACAAGGTCAGTCTACCTCAGTTCATTATCTACAGTATTTCATGTTTTTTTTTTCTTTTTCTTGTTGTTTTTTCTTTTCAGCTCTTTTTTCAATCACAATAGCCTATGATGTGTGCAAGAGATGGTTTTACAATTTGTCATTTTCATATACATTCCAAAAAATAAATAACTAGAAAACAGTCTGTTTGGCAACACTTCAAAGATTCGGAACAGTATTATTTTTTTTATTTTTTTGGAACAGACTGCAGTGAACTGAGCCGTCTTGCCAGTTTACTGCCCGCCGTGGACGTGCAGGTTTTTAAAAATACTGAGTAAACCATTTAACACCTTAATTTGAAGTAAAGGCTAAATTTAAGAGCCACACGAGAGGGGCCGGACACAGCCGGGGCCGCCTCGATTTTCGAGAGTGGTTTGTCTTTCCCGACCCGCAATCCTCTGCCAGTCACAGGTTCTTTTTCGACGTCTCCGAAGCCTTTCGTTCCGCTTTCACAGGCAAATCACTTTAAAACTGGTGTAAAAGCTTAACAGGTAGAGCTGGTAATCTGCCAAGGTGACTAGCGAGAGCACAGGAGCATAAAGAGAAGTCGAAAACGTAGAGGAAAAAGAGCAAAGAGGATAACAAACGACAAAGGAAAAGCAGAAAAACTACCATGGTTACCGTCACAGTAGGTTTCGAAAGAGTCGTGGGTTAAGAAACAGCATCGCGTCTTAAAAATGTAAACTAAAGTTTAATGCACAAGCACTAATCGGATAAGACAGACGGTTTTCATATCAAAGTTAACATTGTGTCGCCCCTTCTTCTCCCTCTCGAAGCGAATTCAGCTGCAAAAAGTACAGTAGACTCAAAATTAGCGAAGATATCTAAACTTCCGTTTAGTTATGTTGACAGCATACATGTGATTCACCTGCCGAGGAAGTCTTATCACATTCTAGTTTATTATAGGTTTATAGATTATAAAGTACTTGCAGAGTAACACAAACATGATAAGTGCACATTTAAAGTTCAATCTAAAAAGAACAGCAACAATCTCTTAACGGATGACATAATATACAGAATGCAACCCCACAGTTGAAAATTTTTCAGTCTATGATGAGCCATTGTTAGGACGAAGACAATGTTACAGAGAGTTGATATAAGTGCTTCAACACCTGATGCTGAAAAATACAGCAGGAACGATGGCAGTTTACTGTGGTCAGCGTGAACAAAAAAAAACAAAAAAAAGAGCATTTCCACCCTGTTGAAAAATCACCTTGTGTCGTTTATCACGATGGAAGGTAAAATAAGAGAAATCAAAGACATTTATTTAAAGGAACCTGCTTTGCTACTTCTATGGAAAAGAAATTCGGAATTGTTCTACAATGCAAAGATATGCTAGATGTCAAAATGTATATTCGGCGATGCTTACGTCACTGAATTAGCGTTGATATTCGTTCTCTGAGTGGTTGGTTACAATTGATGACTTCCACAGTTGACTAGGTTAGTTAGGTTAATACCTTTACTACTATGGTGAAATATGATTCGGCCGACTTGATAGAATCCTGCTTTTCAGACATACAAAATGTTCATGAATTACATGCAGCACAGAAAAAAAAAACACCTCTTTTTTTTTTTGTCGTCGGCTGAGATTTCAACACTCGGACAGGTGTTGTTCACGTCTTCTTCCCTGATTTAAACATCCAAATTATGATACTATCCACACTAGTTAAAGGCACAGATCCAGACAGGAGCATTTTTTTGTTGTTGTTTACATGGTTTGCCATTTTTTTTTCTTTCTTTTTTTTTTTGCTAATGATGTGGCTAAGATCTCACATCAGAATGGGCTCGAGTGACCACGGACACCAAAGCGCGTAAAAACAATGTATGCCATGAGATGTGGCATAAACTTGTGCCCCGAGCGCTTGAGTTCATCCTCCAATGTGTTACTTTCCCTTTATTGGACATTGTGGAAAACAAAAACTTTAAAAACCAAACATTTTTTTTTTTCTTTTTCTTTTTTTTAAGTCACGATTCCATTTGAGAGAGACATTTAATCCACAGCTTCTTTAAGTTTCATAGGTAGTTATTTAGAAAGTCAATTAGAAAACCTGTAGCTTCAGTTGTGATCTAGAGACCGGTCTCTCTAATCCACGAAGACTACCAAATTCCACACACCATACACCAAGAGACCTCGTCTTTTTACCCCCACTATCAATTACAAAGTGTGCTTTATGTCATGTCTTGCGACAGCCCTACTGACCTGGTTCTCTTTGGCCTAATGTGTCTCTAATGAAGAAGCATCTGGATTGGTGGAGCTGAGTGGGACAATGAGGGGAAGGGGGCAATTTATTCTCTACGAAACGCCGTTCACAACGGCTTGGCTGTCGGGGACATCCTGCTTCTCTTTCTTTATCACTCGGTCCTTTATGGGTCTCTGTCGGTTCCCTCCACTGTCTCCTGCCAGAGCTTGAGAGCCTCGGCTGGTGTGGACGCTCCTCTCGTTATTGCTGTCGATGCGGATCTGGAAAACGAACAGATTGGACAGGTTGTACAAGATGAAAGCTTTCACACAGCAATGCATTTCTTCTTTTTAGTACGGATGTCAAAAAGTACCAGTTCCAAGTGAGTTTGGACACTGCTAATAATAACTCAAAAACATCCATTACATGTCAATAGTTTATTTGTTATTACTGTTTAATAACCACTTGGTTCCAAAGTTTGGGGTCAGTAACCTTAAAAAACAAAAACAAAAAAAAACAATCGTTTTCTTCAGAAAGGACGCATTAAATTGGTCAATACGACAGTAAAAACAATTTAATGTTACAAAAGATTTCTATTTCAAATTAATGTTGTGTCTTTAAACATTCTATACATTAAAGAATCCTGAACAAGAAGTATCACGGTTCATATAACGTATTAGGCAGCACAACTGTTCTCTCGTACTGCGTAATATCTTACTGTAGGGGGGAAAACCTCTTTTCCACGAGATATTGAAGCCAAAAATTATCCTTCATTTTGAATTAATGTAAAACGCGCTGCGGCAGCACGCAGACATAGGCAAGACATAGGCGTGCCTATTGGCTGTCCTGTAGGCAACTGCAGCAGCCTATCGACAGAGGCCCTTGGTGACGTCAGATCCAATGGGGTGCTTCACGCCCACTACGACACGTCCCGCCGAGACAGGCGTAGCCTGGGCCTATAAATACAGCTGATATAATCTGAGAAATAAGCTGATATAATCCGTCTGAGAAAAAGCTTTCTGCGGGACGAACCTTTGCATCTGAAGCCGCTGGCCTTCATCTCGCTGCCTTCAGTCGCCGTACCTGCTACGCTTTCCGGCGTTTATATCCTTTTACTCTGCCGAGTGTGTGTTCGCCGCTGCGACTCACACTCTATCTAAAAGAGCAGCGTCTTTTTAAAGATGCCTCGTTCCTGTGGCTCGTGCCGAGCCGCACTCAGCGACGGGGAGCGCCATTTCATCTGCGTTTCCTGCCTGGGTAAGGATCATGCAGCTCTCGCGCTCGCTGACGGCGGCTGCCATCATTGCGAGCTATTGCCCATGGTGACTGAGGACTCGCCTGGCATTTTTCTCCGAGTCTGCACTTCCGCCCGCTATAGTGTCGCTCTATAAAAAGCGGCGTACTCAGCGGGTCCCTGAGCCTTCTCCAGCCCACGAAAGCTCGCCGGTTCGCCCGCCAGCTTCACTCGAGTCGCTCACCGACGGACAACGGCCGCTGTCCGCCGCCGCTTCCACCATTGATGACGACGAGATAGCTGCATCTGTAGAGGAAGCCAGCTGCTCTATCCTGGCGTCGGACAGTGAGGATTGGGCGAGCTCTGCGGGCACCCCCCGCTTCAAACGCTGCACGCACAGTGTTTACGTTACAGCACACTGAAGCTCTCCGGTCGCCACTATGTTGCGGGCAGAGCCCAGATCTCATTCTACCCCTAGCTATTCATGCAAATGCGTGGGGAAAGCTTCCCGGGGTATCAGAATGGGTGCTGAACATTATAAAAAGAGTTTATTCGCTGCATCTACTTCGAGCCGAAATAGCGAAACTATTGAGCAAAGGGGCCATAGAGCCTTTATCTCAAGCTCAGAGCGAAGGGGGTTTATACAGCAGATATTTTCTGGTACCGAAAAAAGACGGGGGTCTCGGACCCATTCTAGATCTAAGACAGCTGAACAAAGTGCTTGTGAAACGCCAGTTCAGAATGCTCACAACCAGGAAAATCCTCGCGCAGATTTGCCAAGAGGACTGGTTTATGTCAATAGATCTGAAGGACACGTATTTCCAATTACAAATAGCGTCACGTCACAGGCGATTCTTGAGATTCGCCTTCGAGGGCCAGGCATATCAATACACAGTCCTACCGTTCAGCCTGTCCCTAGCACCCCGTACATTTACAATGTGCATGGACGAGGCCCTCGCACCCCTGAAACTTTGGGGCATGCGAGTTTTGAACTACTTGGACGATTGGCTGATTCTAGCTCGATCACACTCAGAGCTCATAGAACACAGGACCATATTACTCGAAGATCTCGAGAATCTAGGTCTCAAAGTCAATTGGGCGAAAAATTCGCTGTCTCCCAGTCAGAGAATATCTTTTCTGGGCACAGAACTGGACTCGCTGTCTATGACAGCGCGACTGTCACTAGAGCGCAGACTGAACATTCAGCGCATCACGAAATCCTTCCGCTGCGGCACTATAGTCCCGCTCAAAAGGTTTTAGAAAATGCTGGGTCTAATGGCCTCAGCATCATCAGTACTCCAGTTGGGTCTGCTTCGCATGCGCCCGCTGCAGTTATGGCTAAAAGCGCGAGTACCACCTCGGGCATGGGCCTCCGGTCTGTTTGGTGGCCTATATAAATCGCCAGGGTGGCGTCAGGTCCCGAAACCTTTACAGGCTGATGGAACGCCTCCTGTTCTGGGCTCAGCACAATCTGCGCTCATTGAGAGCAGCACATGTGCGTGGTCACCTGATTTTGGGACCGGACAGACTGTCCAGAAACAATGTTCCACCAGGAGAATGGTCTCTGCACCCGCAGACGGTCCTACTGCTGTGGGAGACATTCGGCAGCGCGCAGGTAGACCTGTTTGCGTCCCAAGAAAACGCTCACTGTCCAAAGTTTTTCTCCAAGAGCAGGGATGCGCTGGCCCACATCTGGCCCCTCTTCCCACTCTATGCCTTTCCCCCCCGTCTCGCTCCTGCCTCAGGTATTGGAACGAATCAGGGAAAACGGATGCTCAGTGGTAGGGCTGTCGCGGTGAAGGAATTTCCCTTGCGGTAATTTTGAGTGGCTCAATAGCGCGATATGCGGTATTACCGCCATTTATTTATTTATATTTATTTGTTGCTATATAAATACGTGTTATGATGTGGTCAGCATACACAAAAACAATGTAACCGAAACTAAACAGCGTTTCTGCGCATTGAAAGGCTGTCACTCAGCGCACACATTGTTACGCCAACGCACTGTCTTTTGAGTGAGTCATTAAACAGTTCATTCAACGAAAACGTTCAAAAAGCTGATTCCTTAAATGATAGATGTCATGAAACAAGGTGTTATTTTTTAACTTTGAGCTCCACTTTTCAAGGCTCAGCTGGCCAGCAATGCTTCACTTTTGGGCAAAGCTGAAGCAATGCTTCACTTAATAAACCAATGGCATTGATTCAATGCGTGACTCGCTGCTTTCCCCCCATGGCTTCCTCGCGCTGTGTAATGCTGACCAGCGCTGCCGCCATTCATGGTAAATACCCTTACACGTTAAAAGGATGATATGACAAATATTTCGCTTTCCTTGGAAACGGCAACCTTTTCACGAACATGACTTGACTTCAAAGACAGACGCAGGTAATCGCACGCGCTCAGTCGATCACATTCACTGTCTGTTTAGGCAAATCCACGAAGCCTCTGTACAAATCACCATGATAAACAGTCTTGTTATCATTATGAACTTACTTAACATTCAATACACATGGTACGAACTACGAAGGGTGGCCTTATGAAAAAAGAAAATGCGGTTCGCGGTTGCTGCGGTTACTTGAATTCCTCTGCGGTTGGCCTGTCAGTAGCGCGGTATTGCAATATTGCGGTTATCGCGACAGCCCTACTCAGTGCTACTTGTGGCTCTGCTCTGGAAAAACCAGGCTTGGTTCCCAGTTCTGATGCAGCTGACAAGCACTGCCCCATGGCCAATACCAATGAGGAAAGACCTCCTCTCTCAAGCCAAGGGCTCGATTTGGCATCCTCGTCCGGAGCTGTGGTCCCTACATGCATGGGCCATCAGCGGGTACCCGCTAACCTCCCGGAGGGAGTGTTAAACACGATCACGCGTGCTAGAGCCCCGTCTACTAGATGACTCTATTCCTCAAAATGGTCTGTGTTTTCTGGCTGGTGCAAAGCTCGAGGCTTTTCACCCATAGACTGTGGGGTTACGGAAGTTCTAGTCTCAGCCTCAGAACTTCACGCCCACGGAACGTTGGCTAAACGTCTGATGCATATGGTACACTTAACTGGAAACACTTCAGGAATGTCGAAGTCGTCATCTGATTGGTTGAATTTTATCGGATTTCCGGGGGGCGCGAGTGTCGCGTTTATTTTCGGTCTGCCGGGAAACAAAGCGCAGACGTGTGATTGCGGAAGAAAAACTGTTCTGTTTACATGAGTGACAACGAGCATTTATCAAGATCAGCTAAACGTAGGATTCTCAAAAGTATGCGAGGTTCACGGCGTAGACTCTTTAAGAGATGTCCAGGAGTTTTGTTTGAGGCACTTAGTGGAGACAAAAAGAGATATTTTAGCCTGTTTGCCGACGGGATTTGGGAAGAGTATTATTTTCCAAGCCTGGCCGACCCTTTGTCAGCATTTATAAGGATTCCCAGCAGATCCAACTTTACTAGTTGTGTGTCCCCTCCTATCTATTACATAGCTGTCAACCCTCTCGTTTTTTCCGGATTTCTCGATCACGTATTTTAGCTCTTTTCCCGCTGTCTTCCCGTTTTATTATTTTCCCGTAAAATATCCCGTATTTTTACGCTCTGATTGTGTGAGACGTACATGCTCGGGCAGATTCGGCTTGAAGTCGTTCATCGTCGGATGCGGCGCCGCGCGCGCTGTTACAAAAAAAGCTGTGCACACAGCCAAGCGAAATGGGGTCTTGCCGGTCTTGCGCACCCAACGCGTAATCTTTGCCGCGCTCGTGCGGACGCGTCAAGTATAAACAATTATACTCCGTGTTAGCGCGCGCTTTGATCGGTAAAGGAGCACAGACCTCTCCCTAATCATCTCCAGCAGCCCCCGAAGCACCACGTATCGTTTCCCTCGTATTAGTATTTAAACATTCTCTGATAAAAAATGTTTAAAAAATGACACACTTTCTCTCATACACACACACACTGTCTCTTTCTCTCTCACTCATTTGTAGTTATAAACTCTTTAGACTTTTAATGATTAGTGCTTTATTTTTAAAGTTTGTGGTGGGTAAGAATCGTGTAAAAAAATTCCCTTATTTTGGGGATGGATTCCGGGAAATCTCCCTTATATTCAATGTTCAATGTTGACAGCTATGATCTATGGAAGATCAAGTGAAGTACCTAACTGTGAAGGGGATATCAGCCGCGTTTGCGGGCAAACATGAAACAACAGACGCTGACATCGCAGCTGGCCGATTCAGTATTGTGTTCGGTTTTCTTCTCCTCCTTTGATTTTCTATGCTGACTGACTTGTTGCACGCCGGTCTGTTGTTGTGGGGACATTTCCACGTGACGCTGAACGAAACGAACTGTAATTGGTTGTTTGACATGTCGGTCAAACGGCCTTATGGGCGGGCCTTGGCCAAAGAAAGCTGCTATGAGTTCCAGACCTTCAGCCGTCAGTCTGAAGGTCTGGCTACGCGAGACTACGGAAGTTCTCTCCTTCCTTTAAGAGCTACTGGATAAGGGCAGAACCCCATCCACGCTCAAGGTTTATGTGGCGGCCATAGCAGCGTTTGCTAAACCAGCGACTGGCCAGTCACTGGGGAAGAACGATCTGGTCATCCGCTTCCTTAAGGGAGCTAAGAAGCTGAATCCTCCCAGACCCCCTTCAGTCCCCATGTGGGACCTTTCGACGGTTTTGGAAACCATGAAAGGTGCCCCGTTCGAGCCAATCCATTTATCAGACATGAAACATTTGTCGTTCAAGACAGTGTTTCTTATGGCTCTTGCTTCAGTGAAGCGCATAGGGGATTTACAAGCGCTCTCAGTAAGCGCGATGTGTATGGAATTTGGGCCAAATGACTCGAAAGTCATACTCAAACCAAGACACGGGTACGTGCCTAAATCCCTCAACACACCGTTCAGGGCTCAGGTTATTTCACTGTCTGCCCTGCCGGTGTACAACGAGGAAAAGGACGCGAGCTTCCTTTGCCCAGTGAGGGCATTAAGAGCTTCTGTGTCTCGCTCATCTGTTTTCAGACAGACAGCTCTTCGTTTCGTTCAGCGGATGTAGTAAGGGACTAGCCGCATCGAAAGGGACTAGCCTATCCAGATGGATAGTTGATGCTATAGCGCTGGCCTACACTTCTAAAGGCTTGCAGTGTCCTTTGGGTGTCAGAGCGCACTCCACAAGAGGCGTGGCCTCGTCGTGGGCTTGGTATAGTGGGATTACCTTGCAGGATATCTGTATGGCGGCAGGCTGGGCCTCCCCGTCTACATTTATAAGGTTTTATAACCTAGAGGTTCCCGCCTTACAGGCTAAACTACTTTCGGTCTAAAGATCAGTACTGTCTGCCCCGTTGCTTCGGCTCAGAATACTGAGACCGCTTGAGCACCGCTCGCTGATCGATAAAATAACTCCATGGGCAATGAGTAAGACCCACACTGTCACCCAGGCCGAACATGCCGAATGACGCTTATAGCCTCTCTTCTCAGACTCTCTGTGAGTCCCTGGTGTTTATGCACTATATGAGCCCCGGGCACCTGCCCTTGGGACTTTGGTGTTGGATGCCAGCACGCACAGTGTTTTACACTGTGTTCCCCTAGCGTAAGATATTACGCAGTACGAGAGAACCTCTCGTAAGAGAACGTACTCGGTTACTAACGTAACCTCGGTTCTGTCTAGAAGAGGGGACGAGTACTGCGTATCTTTGCTGTGCATGCAACACGCTCTGGTTTGCTTCGGCGATGAAAAACCAGATTATATCAGCCCATTGAGCTGTATTTATAGGCCCAGGCCACGCCTGTCTAGGCGGGACGTGACGTAGTGGATCTGACGTCACCAAGGGCCTCTCTCGATAGGCTGCTGCAGTTGCCGCAGGACAGCCAATAGGCACACAAGCTGTCTTCCCTTTGTCTGCATGTTGCGGCAACGCGTTTTACATCAATTCAAAATTAAGGATAATTTTTGCCTTCAATATCTCGTGGAAAAGAGGTTTCCCTCCCTAGAGTAAGATATTACCCAGTACTCGTTCCCTCTTCGAGAGAGAACCGAGGTTACGTTAGTAACCGAGTACGTTTTCAGGATTGATAATAATCAGAAATGTAACTTGAGCAGCAAATCAGGATATTAGAATGATTTCTGAAGGATCATTTGACACTGAAGACTGGAGTAATGATGCTTAAAATTCAGCTTTGATCACAAGAATAAATTACATTTTAAAATATATAAAAGTTATTTTAAATTGTAATAATATTTCAAAATATGACTTTTTTAGTGTATTTTTTTTTATTAAAAAAAATGCAGCCTTGGGCAGCAAAAAAGAAAAAAAAAGGGAAAAAAAATCTTACCAAACCTAAACTTTTGAATGGTAGTGTAAATGGTACTAAAGTAATGTTACATTTAGAAAAACTAAACACCATGTAGTCTTCAATTTGCAAATTTGTATTCATATTTAAACCTTTAAAATAAAGTAGGGTGTTTAATAGCATATGTACTTTTTAAATTGTGAAAATTCACTGGTATTGTAAAAAATATCAAGACATGTATAAATAATTAAGCTTAAAACAAAAACAACACAATGTATAGCAAGCATACTGATAATCTAGTAGGCCAATATTTGAAAAATTTGGCATTAGCAACTAACAGCCTTTTTTATAGATAAAAGACAAAAAATGGTGTAAATATTGTATTTAAACTTACTAAGTGTAATCTGCTATAAATATAGTGAATAAATATTGATATATTATATATATATGAAATATTATATGTATTGATTCAGACCTGCAATGAGTCTTCCTGGGGTCTCAGCTTTGAGTCTCTGGAACTACGAGAGCGGGACTCATTCCAGTGCATTTCTTCAGCTGATTTAAGACAAAAACAAAGACTATTACAAAAAACGAATACACGACTTAAAAATAAATAAACAAAAAGTAAAACGAGCTGAAATGTATAATATACAGTCCATTTATACAATCTAGATATCAACAGATTTACAATCAAGTGTTTCACTTTTTTTTAATTACTGTATGTGACATTATAAACTCCCTTCAGACAGGTAACAACTCTAAAAACTGACTTTTGTATCCTCCTCCTCTTCCTCTCCCTCCACGACCCCGGGGTCCCCCACCCCTTTTGCGTCCATCAGGGGCCCTTTTGGGGTAACCCATGGACTCCTCATCTGTGGGGGCCAGGGACCAGTCGCTGAGCTCATCTCTGTGGTCGGATTCGGTCTCAGATGCATTGGAGGCCTCAGAATTGGTGCCTGGGACAAATACAGTAAATAATCAGATAATTGGCACTACGCTTTAATTAGTGGATGAATGAAGCTTAAATATCAAACCAACGGCTATTATGTTACAGAAAGTAATACTATCATATGAAAACAATTGTCTTTCATTTAAATGCCCGGTTTCACAGACAAGGCTTAAGCCATGTTGCAGACTAAAATGCACATTCAAACTGCTTTAACTGAAAGCAACTTGCACGAACACATCTTAAAATATATCAGTGCCATTGTTTTTTTAATGTTTCTTTTCTATGGCACATTTATAAAAGCTACTTAAATGTCCTAATTTAACTAAGGCCTAATCCTGGCTCAATCTAAGACCTTTCTGTGGAACCAGGTCAAAATATTTTAAGTGTGATGTTTAGGGCCACCAATTTCCATAACTAGTTAAGCTCTACGTTTATCATTTGAGGCTGGTTATACCTGAGGCCAGTGTCGGGCCCCGTCTCCCTCTCCCTCCACGACCGAAGGGTTTGCCGCCCCCCCGTGACGGTCCCATTCCATTATCAGCCATGAAGGGTTTTTCCTTCTCAGGTCGTCCCGGCAGAGCTCTGGGTCCCCCTCCGATCTGTCTGAGCTGTTCATCGATCTGCAGTCTCTCCATTCGCAGCTGATCAACCTCCTGAACAAGACCAAACAAACATGAACAATGTACCGTCACACACGAACAAAGAGGCTAAATCAGAGTAGTGAACATCACATGATTATCTTTGGGGCATTAAGTATGTCACTAGTCAACAATTGCTGCTTTGCAACGAGTACTAATGTGCTCGGCGATCAGAATCTGCTCAACGAGAAGAACAAGTATTCTGAAGGAAATGTAAAATGCTTGTTCGAGCAGAACTCGTACCAACAACTGCACAAAACAACAAATGCTGAGGTCAAAAAACAACCCCAGGTGTCTGATATTCTAGGGACATATTGAGGAAATTCTTCTTGAGAAAGAATTTAAAAATGTCTTAAATTTCTAAGAAATTCTAAGAAGTGTTGTCTTGGGAAAATGAGAGGCTTTGGATTACTGATCTGATTGTATGGCAGTTCTATCAGAAAACTTGCTGATCAACTCAAACACCTCAGAGGCTGCTCGCGCTTTTATAAAGGTGCAGTAAGCGATTTCTGAGAAACACTGTTGAAAGTGGATAGGACTGAGCACCACAACACGTTTTGAACCAATCAGCTGTAGGGGGCGTGTCCACTCATGATGGGGGAGGAGAGAGAGTGAGAGACATTACAAAAGCTCACAGGAATACCACTGGAAAAAGAAGGGTGATGATTAGATATATTCGAATATTCCCACGTTAATATTAGAAAATCTTTCCAGCGCTGGAGAGACCGAAGCGGGAAGGCTTGAAAAAATGTTAGCTGTAACAGGACCGTTTTTTGTTCTTCCTTGTCATTCATTCAGCATCTAAGTTTTATTTTCGAGAAGCATTATTTTGCTTCGCTTTAGCTATGATGAAAGAAACACTTTAGACATTTTGGGGGTGGAGCAATGAAGGGAGGGGTGTGTTTGTTTGTGTTGATTTCAAATATCAACAGTGTTTTCTAGAAATTGTACTTTGATTGTTTTTAAGAGCCTGTCTGGTGCATACATTTGCGCTCTCCGAAAATTCATTAAACATCTTACCTTGTGTATTTACGAAGAGTTTAAGGTTATGGTGATTTTTAAGAATATTCTTTTCAGGAACTCATATTCCTCTTAAGTTTTGTTTAAAGAACTATCTTAAGAGAAAAATGATGATAATATCCGAGAGAAATGTTTTAGGGAATACAGTATTTTTTAAACTTATTCTTCAGTTAGAAAATAAAAATAAAAAAGCAGTTTAGAAGAATTTTATTCTCAAGATTGTTTGTGAGAATGCAGCCCATGGTCTCTAGTCAATTATTTATTGCAACACTATCAATTTTTTTTTTTTTTGCCATTTTATTGACCGCCAAACTGAAACTGTAAATTAAACGGAAATACTTAAACACCAAAGTTTAATAGTCAGGGTTTACGGGTTATTTTAATCAATAACCCCAAGTATGATCAATAGTAATTATGCAAGCAACCTAAAAAGTGGTTCTTACCTTTAGATAATTCAGATGGTAGTCCAGCAGAATACGTGCATTTGAAATGCTTTCCTTTGTCCCAACAAACACAAACGGCACCATTCCCTGCAGTTGCAATTAAAGTATGCGAAGTCAGTATGAATTATAATTTGTCAGCATGAATGATAAATTCCATATTGGATAGATACAGTCGACCAAGGAGTAGGATGTATATATATTAGGGATGCTCCGATCAGGATTTTTGCAAGCTTTATATAAGTATTATGTAGGCTCTCTGAATGATTTCATGTGATTTCAAGTGGCATACTTAACCCTTGTGCATCCTTATGGACATTTTTGTCTTTTTCAAGTTGTTTTTTCTTTTTTTCACTTTGCCTGTGTGCCAAAATTTGCCAAAAAATCTTTTTTTGCACTAGGTACACAAAATACTTCCTCTCAGGGCCTTTTGAACAAAAATGTCCACAGTGAAACCAATTAAAACTGCTATTGTTAATCCCAGGGCCATTTAACTATAAAATTATGCAATCTTTGTTAAGAGGCTTTCATTCTGTTGGCAAGGCTTCAAAATGTAACTTTTTACAATTTTTTTTACCAGATGGTGCCATTTTTTCAGGTATGGCCTATAAAGCAAATACTCGCTTTATTCGTGTTTTCTGCTTCGGCATATTTAGAGCCAGTTGGATAAATTATGCAACGATAACTGTAACGATAACTCTTAACGATAACTCTTTTTTTTTGAGATATCAACCTCAAATTTGGAACACAACTTGTTTAGATTTATGGCTTTGATTTTCTAGCCATTAGGGTTCAACATGTTTCATAAAATATACATTTTATATAAAATAATGTTCATAAAGCTTCACATTTTTATGACCGTTTTTTGACAGACATTTTTGTCCACTATGGACCCATGTGTAACTTTTTTTAATTGATGCAAAAGGGTTCAAAGTAATGGCTTATAGTTTTTTTTTTTTTTTTTTAAAGGTATCGAGTACATGGTCATCAACCTTTAAAATTGAGGAAAATAGATTTTGATCATGTTTAGAGGTTCTAATGTTACAACACTGTGGAGAAAACCCAAGAAAAAGTGATGCAATTTATTGATCTATTTTGCTTGTTATTCATGCTTGACATGATGACTATTAGAATCATATATGACAGGTCATAAAATCAAGTCCACTTGTTCACAATCATGACAACTGCATCTGGGCCAAATTTAGTCAGTTTCCATTAGTTGAACATTCAAATGACGTTGGAAAACACTGAATCATGATCGCGACGCGATCGGATCCCTGAGGTTCCATATTAGCCAAGCGAGCATGTCATAAGTTACTCCGTGAGGACTTTCTCCAAAACTACGCATCATGTTATGTTGGGTGTGGGCTCGATTGAATCGAGAAAACCTGCTCTAAATAAAGATGTGCGATCTACTATGGTTTACTAATACTAATTGCAAAGTTACAAAGCAGAATGTGGTGCAAAAGCCTCATCTGTATACTGTTTACTTGCATGTTTTACGTGATCAAATTGCGATCGGTTAGTAAGATTGGACACATTTAGTGACTACCGATCGAGTCATAGAATGTGACTATCGGCCATTATCAATCTGCGGCTGATCGATCGGAGCAACTCTAATATATATATATATATATATACACTCACTAGATTGCATTGTAGATGGCATTGAATTATGTATTCCTAAAATTGATTAGTAGGCTATAATACAGTCTTCACCAATTACTATGAATTAATGCATTTTCTCATGCATCATCACTTCTGCCACCCATAAATACAACAACGAGTGTGTTCAGCCGCCCACTCACTGACCTCCTCTAATGGAGAAGGCTTTTTGTCGTTTTCAGGTTCCACTCGAACTCTGACAACTCCCGATTTATCCACAACCTCTTGAATCAGCTTCCCACTCTTGCCAATGACTTTTCCTGCAGGACGGGGGTAGAAAATAATTTAATGATTCACATTAACCATCATGGTGCAGGACAGAAAGTCCAGTCCGTGAAGGAGAATGTTGCTCATTTAGTTTGTCCTTACCGACTAAATTCTTAGGAACTTTGATAATATCTTCAGAAAACTCCAGGTAGCTTCTGGCCTTCCGTACAGCTTCCTGGTCCTGGAATTGAAACAAAATTCATCGCAAAGACCCATCAAGACATCTCAGATATGCGTTTTAGGCTCACATATTCTAACAGCCAATTGACTTTACCGACACCAGAAAGTCCCCAATAAAGCAGTTACCTCTCCATAGATGTGAAACGTGCAGGTCTCTTCATCCAGATCTATGGTTGTGACCCCAGGAATCTTTCGTGCTTGCTGGATATTCGCCCCATGGGTGCCTATGGCCAATCCCATGAGGTCATCACGCACCACAAACTGCTCATGGAACCTTGAAGCCAGTTGCCGAGAGCTCTGGAAGAGAATTGTTTTTTATTAATTAAGCGAATGTTGTACTTAATGGAAAACCATGATGGCATGTGTTTTAAAAAGTGGTTAATTTTTTAGATTTAAGCTGTTTAAATGTTATGGTTAAAAAAATGCATGTTCAGTTCAGTTGTGGCTTTTGAGGAGGATATGCAAGGACACGTCTACAGTATTAGATTTTTAGCACATTTTCACGTGTGAAATTGCAGCGCTGCCTGATACACAAGAGTGCTTTCTGTATGAAACTCAACAGTGGGTTCAAAAGCCCTCAGCAGTCCAGCTACTCTTGTACCGTAAAATAAAAAAAGATTCCAGCACTGTTTAGCCACACATTTGATAGCATTCTCCAAATCTTCTCCAAATCAAACACACTTATGCAAAGAAATAACTGCATTAATAAAGTAGTTGTTAGATTATGGACATAAACAATTTATTCAATTAAACAGAAGTCAATAATGAAAAAAATATATATATCAAAGAAGAGATGTTTTTAAAGACATTTCAAACCATAAAACACATACAAATTCAAACATTGGTTGAAACACTACAATTTAATTCATTTAAAAAAAAACTATTCAATGCCTCATATGCGCTAATTTGAAAATATATATATATATATATATATATATATATATAAAAAGTGTTTCCCATACATTGATTTATCTGTGGCAGTTACCATTAACCATTACCAGTAACCATTGCTGTTAAATAAATTAAAATAGAAAGCGCAACAAGGCTTTGTGTCCTTATCAAAAGACTGTTTGCGCTGCGCAAAGAGAAGTGTGCACTTCTCTCACGTGATCAGCTCTGTGTATTAGACCCCAGTGAATGAATGCAGTGAACTCCATCTGTGCATGTGCTGAGTTTAGCGTGCATTTGGGAAAATAGCGGTCACCAGTAACGCATTATTTCCATAGTTGCCGAATACAGCATTTCACTAGATTTGTAATGAGACACATTTGTAAACTTGTTTTCCGCCAAAATAGGGACAACAGAAAAAGCTGCTAATGGAACGACAGCCGGAAGTAAACGGTTAATAATAAAAATAATTTTATATTATTATTAGTAGTAGTAGTATGTCGTGTAATGTAGACTGAGACACTATAACACAACTAAAAAGAGGTTTGAGTTCCCTTTAAAGTTCAGGTACAAGTCAATGCACTGACTTTTTCTTTGTTCAATTTGCACAATGAATATGGGTTGGAGCTCTTAATTTTTAACTCTTAATTTTGAGCACACGATTTATGAATTTAACTGCAAAATGTACAAAGTTATATATATATATATATATATATATATATATATATATATATATATATATATATATGTGTGTGTGTGTGTGTGTGTGTGTGTCCAGCCAATCTGTCACATTCAACTGCGTTTTCACCCCAAGTGTGTATTATTTGATCACAACATTTTATACACAAGATTTCATTATACACATTTTAAGAGCTAAAACAATACCTATATGGAGCCAATGCATCTGTAAATATAGCTCAGCATATCAACAGAGTATCATATTATGCCATAGCAGGAGCATGGGCCATCACAGTGGTGCATGTATGCACGTAATACCCTTTTGCACCTTTTAAATATAGACTTTCTCTACAGCCATCCCATGCATTAGTGTCCAGCAGTGATATTCTGCATGACTTTATAATGGTAAGTAATAAACCAGCGAAATTCATGATAACACTATCAGCCTTCCTCGATTCGGTATAAAATACGGTTGCACTACCGCAAAACAACAAGCATTTTACATAAAACGATCCAATGACCGCTTGAGAGTATCAGTAAGGTAGTCTTTGTGGACTTAGTTGTGAGTGAGAGTGTTGAACCTGACACTAAACGTCAGGGAGTCCAGGGCAATACCTCCAGCTGTCTGGTTGCTTCCTCATTCCTCAGTATCAGCGTCAGCTTTGTGCGCAGACTCCTGAAGTGCATGTCACTCAACATGCCTATTCGCTTCGAGGTGACCTCATTAACAGACTGAAAGAGAAAAAAAAAAACAATACACTTAAGAAAACGTCAAAAATCATACATGCGTTCAAAATTGGATTTGAAACATTCCAAGTTACCAAAATAACCAACTGCTTTTCTTCCGAGTCATAAGTGACGTTAAAGGCTCCGATCGCTTTTTTAAAGTCTTTATGTGCCGAGTCTTTCGCACACCTATCCAGAAACAAAAAACGATAGTTTACAAATTTGCGTGATATCATTCCGGTTTAAAGTCTGAAACAAAAGAATCCACTTCAATATGTAAAAGACATGAACTTACATCTGTCTCAAGTCTTCAGGAACATCTAGTCTGATTTTGAGAAAGGTGTTCTTTGATGCTGCTTTGTTGGGGTTCACAGGTCGTAGCCTCTCTAATGTGACGATTTCATTTAGCGTTGCATCACAGGCTGCGTATTCTATCACGTAAAACTAAGTGCAGGACAGAGCAACAAAACAGTTACAATACATCACATAATTCAGCATTCAACTTCATGCCTATGTATAGTATTCAGGAGAACCCTTACTGTAGCTCACTATCATTTAATGACCATGTTTAAGTGTTACATATTTTGCTAGTACTTTGTACATAAACTACTAAAATTGAATCTACTTTTATAGACCTTGTGTGAAATATAGGCTACAGAGCTACCGCTGAAACGAAGTTCAAAGACAAAATTGTGAAGATGCTTGTTTCTATGGCGCATAAAGTCTATAGAAAAGGGGCGGAGCTACATAAGGTCTATATAACAATACGAAATCGCTTACCTCGCCTTTCACCATGCGAACTTTGGCTAGCCACCATCCACAAGGCTCCTTATCATTGGCCCTGGAGTAAACCTGTGGAAGAGACAGGTAAATGTGGAAAATACGCAAAAAAGGGCACTATATAGACTTTAGTGCATGCGTGTAATATTTGTTTAAGGTTTAAAGAACGTTTTCCATGTTGAACAATCTTTGACAGCCCATACCTCCACTTCATCACTCTCGTTTATCTCTTTCTGAAAGCCGGTTGGAGGTGGAAACCGGACATCTTGGAAAGAAATCTGTCGTTCTGGCTGCCAACTGCAAAGCAATTTAAAAAAACTTAAATTTAGTTACAGAATTTCGGACACATTGCATTAGGAAACATCCCCATCAGAAATCACAAAGTTATATATTCACGTATGACAAGTGTATATTTATATTGAAGACGACATAAAACTGTACATCTGAAAACGAAACTATTTTGACCTCGCAAGGCGTTCGTGTGCTGAAGTTGGTACTCACTTGTTCTCAAAAGACACTGTGACTGTACTCTCCTGAACATCCTTAATATAAGCCTGGAAGAAATAATGAGGTATTAATTATGCACTGATCTTGCCTCAAAACCTAGACAAGACTGCATTTTTGGAGGGCATCAAAGGTGCCTATAAACAACAGTCTTGGAGTGCAATTCTACTTTACACTTGGAACAAATTAGATATCGTTTGAAGGGTACATTTTAATGGTTTGGCAAAAACTGGCACCCTTTTACCTGTTATCTTGATGGAAACCATATGGACTAATGCATCATTTTGGTAATGTAATGTTGTAACATTTCTTCCTCATACCTTTTTTAATTCAATGTAAACAGGTCTGATATGTATGGGATGGTTTGTGATGTGCTGTTTTTATTATTCTTTCTCTCTAATTCTTTGATTGGTTTTTATTTGTATATGTATGCACAAAAGAAGATTGCAAATCCTTCTTTAAAAGTTGTCTTCCAATATAACATTATTTGAGCAAAAAACACAGTCCACACTGAATGATATATCAACAGAATTGTATCATTCTGAGAAATGAAATTCCTTGACTTTCACATTACTTTTCTAGCAGTCCATTAAAACAGTAAAATTATAATTTCCAGTTTATTATTATTATTATTTAGAGTGGATTATAGAAAATACATATATAAACTGAATTAAAAATCAGTCTTCTATGAATTTCGTAGGACTGTCTGTATTAATTTCAATTACTTTTCCCGTATGGAAACAAACATTTTAAAATCCCCTGGTACATTTGTAACCACATGGTTTGTAACCATTTACATTATTATTCTAGCCGTCCATGAATACAGGAAAAGTATCATTTCTAGTTTATTATTATTAATATTATTTTGAGTGGGTCATACAAATGCACACAAAATTATACAATGAATAAATTATTTTCGGATTGTATTCATTTCAGTGACTTTTCCCAGGCGTGGAAACAAGCTTTTTAAAATTCACTGATATTTAACGTTACAAGTTTTCCATGAACATGAAAAAAAAAAAATTGCCTGCTTTATAAACTGCTAAGTTACAACAATACATTACAACTTCATTGTCATAAACTGTATAGATAACGCCATTTTAAAGCATAAAGTTACAGACTCGGGAAACATATAAATTAATTTTAATACCATTTACATTGTCATGTACGCTTTAAAGGTCTAGAGCCATACAGATGATTTTAAAATGTAAAATGAAATACATTACATCAATCGCCCATAAGTGGAGAACTCAGTGTGTACCATACACAGATCCATACAGAACCGAGCCAGCTGACAGATATTCCGGTGTCAACACACTAGATATGCATTAATAATACACATGATATCGAATAATTTCGATGAATCTTTAACGCCTGTCCATGCAAACACACGTCGAAGAGGCCTCGAAGGCCTACTGCACCATCGAGCATTTGAGCTCTGCGTTCACGACGGACTGGATCAAATTTTACACACATTATTTGCATCATCCGTTGAGTTAGGCACACACAGGAGGCATATAAGACGAGATCTGAAGCCCACCTTGTAGAAAGCTCCACTCGCCCCTCGCACTTCCACCGCGAGCTCGTCCATGTCTCCAGTAATCTAATACACAACTGATCACAGCTGCAGCAGACGCGCGCGCTCTGTAACACACAGCAGCCTTATGCTCGGACGGTGTCGTAACTACCGTGTGTACCGATGTTTGTGCTCGTTTTCAACGAAATGAAAGCAAAACATTGATGTGTAGACGGTCTGCAGCGGCCGCTGTTGAATGCATCGATGTAAACACAAGAGCCTCCCTATTTCCCCCCCGTCACGTGACACAGGCCCGCTTCCCTTCCGTCGAGAAGCCACGCCGCCGTCACGTGACACGCGTCAGCTTTGCTTCTTCTGCACGCCACTTTTCTGCAATTAAATTAGCTTGACGTGCTACGTATTATTTTTTAAAATCCCAAACATATAATATAAAAAAATATCCGTTTGACTTTTTTTTTAAACAACATTATACAACAACACTATGAATAACAACCATTAACAACCAGGGGGAAATAATACACTAAAATACAGCTAATATATATATATAATGTGCTGCCCTGTTTCACACATTAACACCAATGTTGGATTTCATAGGCAGAAGCCTATGTTTTTAATAATCCTTATTCATTTTTGAAGCAAAAAAAGTACATAACATAGTGAGTCTTGAACAATGTCTAGCATTTCTGTATTTTACACCAAAATAATGGAGAGGATGCCAATATTGTGTGTTTTAGGCCAATAGGTTATGAAAGAGATAAGAGAAAAGAGAAAGAGATAACATAATATGTTATGCCAATAATTGGCAACATTTTCATAATAATATTTCATTTCACCTAATATTTCAAAGGAATTTATATATATATATATATATATATATATATATATATATATATATATATATAATTTATTTCACTTTTCACTTTTTACTGTACACATTTACTGTAACTCCTGGTGTACAGTCGACATGTATTAAATCAATGCTGTTTTGTAACAGAAAGTTATAGTCTGAATTAGAAAACCCTGTTACATTTTCCTGAGATAATGAACATTTCGAAAATTACTCAGATTTAAATAATAATTACAAAATATTATCATTTTTCCAAAAGAGTCATAAATTGGATCACTAAATTAATGCCAGTCATGTTTAAAGACCAAGGAGAAGGTGTTGTGGTGAAATCTCCAAACATTTTGTATCTCTGAAAACTAAAATCTCTTCACAGGACATCCAGACTTAAAACTGTGACATGTATAGTGTCAGATACATTTTCTAAAATATAATGTCCATGAGGACAAAAGTATGGGTCCCAAGAGGATTTTACACTGAAAAAAATAATCCTGTAAAAAAAATGCTAAACTACAGGCAGCTGTGGTTGCCAGCATATACCACAAAAATACAGTGTGTTACTGTTTTTGACATTACTGTAACAGCTAAATACCGTTTTGTCAGCTACAGCTATGCTGTTAAATTACAGTTTTATACTGTAGCTGACAAAATGGTATTTAGCTGTTAATTGCAAAAACAGTAACACACCGTATTTTTACGGTATGATGCTGGCAACCTGTACTTTACAGTTTTTTTTAAAGGATTATTTTTCACAGTGTATGTTTGAAAAAGGTTACAAATGGCTTTATAATTGTTTTTGTGAATCAATAACAAGAAAATTTTAGGTAAATCACAAGTGGGCAATTCATAAGAATGATATTTAAAAACACCTTCAAACTAAATTTGACTATGGGGACTGAACCAATAGCAACCAACTGCTTTAGAGTAAATGACAAGTTAAGGCCTCAATTTTCATGTTTGCAGTAAAATCTTCTTGAAAGGATACATCTGTCATTGTGATATTTGCATATCCAACATCTGAGTTACACTTACCCAATGGACAAAAAAGTGAGATTATCTCAAGTAAGAACATTTTAGTTGCCCTTGTGACCACTGATTCACCTAGCACTCAAGAAATATAATGTTGTATGGCACTGGGCGAGACGGCTATGAATATTCTCGGTTGTCAAGTTTGGTTGAAAAGGCTTAATGATCCGGAAATAAGACGGAGGGAAGATTAACTTGTGGTGCTGAAGAATCCTGCGTGTGCCATGGACAAGTCGATCATGGAGGAAATATTACTCGAAGCACAAATGATGAAACTGCGTTTGTCATATTTTGGTCAGATGGTTTGAAGGGAAAGATCCCTGGAAAAGACATCATGATTGAAAAGCTAGAGGAAGCTGCAGAGGAAGACCGCCAATGAGATGGATCGATACGATCACAATGACGACAGGATAGATGCTGGAGGATCTCATCAGACTAGCACAAAACACAATCCTTTTGAATTCTTTAGTCTATCAAGTCACCAAGACTCGAGCCCAAATTAATGAGATATGTACATGATGTACATTGATCAACCACAAAATTTAAACCACCTGTCAGATCTTCCAAGCCAACAGGGGCTTTCATGGATTGGATTTGTTTGTAGATTCCATCGATGCTCTATCGAATTGCCATCCACCTGATGTAAAAGAAAACGGGACTCATCGCACCAGGCGACCTTATTCCATTGCTACATGGTCCAGTTCTGATGCTCACGTGCCTATTGTTGGCGCATTCGGCAGAGGAAAGGGGTCATCATGGACATGGGCACTCTGACCGGTCTGCGGCCACAAACTGCAATGATTTTTCCTAGTTTAGCTTTATTCAGCAATAATTGTTTCTCGTAGGCCTGGTTTCACAGACAAGGAGATTAAGCCAGTTGTAAAGTTGTATGTCATAAACATGTCATCTCTGTATGTTTTGCAAAAAATAATAATAAAAAAATAAATTAAAGTAGACTTTGAGCTGTATGCACGTCCCAGCCGGGTTCGTCACTTATTGGGGTCCCCTAGAAACATTTTCCGTTGTGGTCTGTGTTATTTGAAGCGCGTTTCTGTATTTGGCGTGTTGTGAACTTTTGCAGTGCGTTTCTGTATTTGGTTGTGTTGTAAGTATTTGGAGGAGCACACATGTGTTGTGAAACTGATACCGTAATACATACAGTAGGTGAAAAACAGTATGTAAGCCGAGTGGTAGCTATGTCGTAATTCATAGTATTCATAAAATGTATACTATGAATGGCAAATGGTCCTAGATGACCCACTACTTCCGGCGAGATTCAGAAATGCACATTCGATGGACACTTTACTATCCCATGAGTCCACGGGAGAGGATTTGTGCGTGGAGGTGTCCACACTTTATTTATATACACACGACACATTGATACTTTATAGAACACATTTTTTTAATGGTCGCCAAGTAAGTAAACCAAATTCAAAACCTATACACTATGCGAGTTTGGACGCAGCATGACTGTTTATTTGCTGCCAAATATATCACAACCCTTGACAGGTGCCATTGAAATGATATAATCAATGTTATTCAATTTAACTGTCAGTGGTTTTAATGATTGGCTGATCAGTGTCTATGTATGTATGTTCCGTGTGTATGTATGTGTGTGTGTGTGTGTGTGTGTGTGTGTGTGTGTGTGTATGCAGTTTGGCAATATTCCCCAGGTTGGTTTTCAGTTTACGATGTTTTATGTTTAACAAATTTTGCTACTGCACATTACAATTTTTACAACAGTAAACAGTATGTTTATATATATATATATATATATATATATATATATATTGTACTGTTGTATATATATATATACTGCCAGTCAAAAGTTTTGGATCGGTAAGATTTTTTATGTTTTTAAAAGTCTCTTCTGCTCACCAAGGCTGCATTTATTTGATAAAAAAAGTAATATTGTTAATATTATGACAATTTAAAATGACTATTTTCTGATCAAAGCTGAATTTTCAGCATCATTACTCCAGTCTTCAGTGTCACATGATCCTTTAGAAATCATTCTAATATGCTGATTTGATGCAAAACATTCATTATTATTATAAATGTTGAAAACAGTTGTGTAGGACAACTGACAACTTTCAGGATTCTTTGAAAGTTCAAAAGAACATTTAAAAATCGATTTTTTTGAACATTTAAATATAATTGTTTATAACATTATACTTTACTGTAACTTTTGATCAATTTAATTCATCCTTGATGAATAAAAGTATTGATATCTTTTACCCCAAACCTGTACTGACCCCAAACAATTGAACGGTAGTGTTTATTGTTACAAAAGCTTTCTATTTCAGATAAATGCTGTTCTTCACTTTCTTCTCATCAAAGAATCCTGAAATAAAAATGTATGCGTTCCACATTGATAATAATGAGAAATGTTTCTTGAGTATCGAACCATCATTAGAATGATTTCTGAAATTTCTCATAGAAAACAGGTGTTTTAAATTGTAATAATATTTAACAATATTCCTGTTCTGTATTTTTAATCAAATAAATGCAGCCTTGGTGAGCAAAAGAGACTTCTTTTTAAAACATTAAAAATCTCACAGATCCAAAAATTTTGACTGGTAGTGCATATACAAAGTAATTGTGTACTGTACATGTTAAACTGCATTCTGACACATCATTGCATTTTTGCCTGTAATTTTTTAGTACACCACTGGATGTCAGTGTTGTATAATGACTGTTTCATGAGTCCAATCACACTGCTATACAATTTTCGGTGCTGTTTATAGTATATATTTCAGACACCACGTAATAGATTGTACAATATCAGGTTTCTTTTTATCATTAAAATATACAAGATTCAGTTGTCAAAAATGCTGAGTAATTTCCTTCGTTGTACTCCAAAAAAACTCAATGCGATCTATTTTTTGATAAAAACAAGTCCATAGGAAATGCATTACTCATGTTAACCAACAGCATCACACTCACTCCTTGTTTCTAAACTCGTCCCGACACAATCCAATGTGTCCACTCTCACTCACAGCAGGCCGCTGGTGTTGTCTGACCACATCACGCTGAAGAGGAGCGAGAATGACGTATAGGCAAGAGGAGAAACATGTGGCCGGTGTGAGCGATACATGGCTGCCCTTCTCAAGCCCCTGCTGAAACGGATGAGATCAGTTGTGTGATGCTCTTGTCCCCGGTGGTCTGGCAGGGTGGGCAGCTTGATGGTGTGAGCACTGAAACTCTCTCTTCAGACCGCAGGTGGCCTGCCAGAACACATCAAGCAATCATGTGTGCTTGATACAGGAGGTGAGGAGGTCTATCGGTGATAGAGACACAGCGGTGGATGAAGTAGGCTACACAAAATCTGGACATTTGATGAAAAATACTCCAGTAGAAGTATGAGTAAATAGGAATAAAAGCCACCCGTTACTGTAGCCTATATGTATATGTATATTCTACAG